TCCCTTCTGGAATGCATGTCCTACAGAGTCCTCGCAAATAGAAACTGAAAAACAGAGGAAAACACAAGTACTGGGAAAGATAGGGCAAGGTGACTTTTTTTTTTTTTTTTTTTAAACAATCTATACTGGATTTTGTCTTTTTCTTCTTATGCTTTGTTGGATTGTGGCTTGTCATTTTTTTTTTTTTTTTTTTCCAATTCACTTCTTTTTCCCTCTCCCTGTGCCGTCCCGGTGACCTCCCTCTCCTCCTCTCTCACCCTCACTATGTCTCTGGTCCAGAACCGGGCACGGTGTTGGTTTATGGGAGGCGCTGTGCTGTGCTGTGCTGGATACTGCTTTATCTACAGATCAGTCTCTCTGAGGGTTCCTTCTCCAGATCTGTTTGTCCAGCTCACTGCTTCTCTTTAAATACAGCACCTCTCCCCCCTTCCAGACAGGGAGCAGAGCAGGACGGGCCCGTAAAACCAGCTTTTAGTAATTGCATAGAGTGGTATCCCCGGCTAAGGACCTTTTCTCTCTTGAGAACCAGGAAGCAATCAGGGACTTCCTTCCACTGCCTTGTTGGGGTGGAGGCCATTAGCCCCCATTCCCACTGGGTTAAATGCCACCTGTGTCCCGCCCTGGGCTCTGACGAAAGCTACACACGTACCTCTCCGCCTCTGTGAATCAGGGCATCACTAGCTACAGCCATCACTAGCTACAGCCTTCTTGGTTCCTTCCTGCTGTGAGCAAGGCTGAGTGGAGAGGGATCTGGGTACACAGAAGTGTCTATGGGTAGAGTCTGGAACATGGTTGGGGGTGTTACTCAGAAGAGGTATGTAGGGAGGCCTAGGCCCAACTGTGTCTGCTGACTTTTATCAAATCAAACACTGATCGGAACTTAACTTTATCAGCTGGAAAATGAGTGTATCGCAGTCTCTTCCTTCTTAAAGGGGAATGGCAGGACAAGCAAAGAAAATTCCATGTCAAAACTACAAAAGTAAAAAAAAAAAAAAAAAAAATAGACAACCCTTGATCTCCTTCTCCTAATGAAATATATGGTGTCTCGGACAGGCCCAACTGTTGTCATTTCATAGCCCGATACTCCAATCACTTATCTTCTATTTCTATTTTACCTAAGAAATGAAACAGTGTTATGTTCCCTGAGCTCACACAAGGCGGTAAAGAAGGCTGCAGCAGGGGGAATGGGAGGTGCTTCTTGAACACACTGATGAGAGGGATGTACATTCCTGAGATTTAAAATTTGTAACAAGAGAGACAGTCTATATGTGGGTAATTGAGGTCTGGTAGGAGGAGGAGTGTTTCCTTAATAGGTTTTATACAAACTTAATTTCTGCAAAGCGTCCTCTATTTTACATGTACTGATGCATATTTAAATGTATAACTTCAATTATCACCTCGACGCGGATGCTTGCCCCCCTTGAACTTGCTCCTCAGCTCTGTTCCTATGTCTCCAATTACCCACATGGTATTTTGTCTGAAGGCTCTAAGCCTATTTCCTCTACCTCCCTCTTATGAAAACCATGGAAGCTGAGATTCATAGACATAGCTGTGGACCAGAGACCAAAGTCATTTACCCAGCAGGAACAAGAGGATGGGATGTCAGGCTCCCCAATTTCCGAAGACACAGAAGATGCTCCATTCACACTGCCCATGGAAGACCTGACATCCTTTCACACCCAACTTAGGATCTTTAAGTCTGGCGCTTCTCTGGACCTTTCAGTCTTCACAGAGTGGAAGCTCCAAGAAGGCAAAGCTCACAGATCTGCAGATCTCACTTCCTTCAGACCTGGCATTTAGTAGGTTCAAAAACCATTTTGATGGTTGCATAGATGAAAGACTATGGAAACTGACCATCATTCTTTGTATCATCTGAGCTTGGAAAGTTGTCATTTTCCACACACTCCCCCCTTTACCCCCCCGGCCACTTGTAACTCATTAATTGCCAATTTCTGTTGACTTGGCCTCTACTGGCATCTTTGGATCCTCCTTCGCTTCTGATTGCTCTCTTTCCCAAGCGTTAGTCCTGACCCCTTACCCAGGACTCAGCATAATCTCCTGTTCCCGCCTTTCCTTTTTCTCCTCCTCCTGTCCTAGGCTCCTCTTTCACAATAAATGATTTCATCATGATTTTTCCCAGGTTGGAAGCCATCTACATTCTCAGTTACCTACATCTAAAGTCCATACACCCTGCAGGCCAGTCTCGCTGCCTCCTGGCCTCCACCTCTCTTCCTAACCTTATCATCTGTTGTTCTGCCTCATAAATCCCCACCCCCCACGAGATGGCTCTGCTTGTGTCCCTTGAAACATACCTTATACAGGCTTGCTTCTATATTTGCACACGCTATTGCCTCATTTACTTTGTGAATTCCAACTGTCACTCAGACCAGGGTAAAGTCTTTACAATTAAAACAACGACCAAGGAATACATCAGTAACAATAGCTAGAACTTTCTAAATCTCTTCCATGTATCAAGGATAGTACTAAGTTCTCCATACTCATTATTTCATTAACCTTCACAAAAAGCCCAGGAGGTTAAGTACAATTCTTATCCTTGTCTTATAGTGGAGGAACTCTAGGCTCAGAAGGGTCCAGTAATGTGCCTAAGGTCACAGACTCCGTGTGCACAACAGCTGAAAATCAGACCTAGATCTACCAGGTGGCCAAAGCCATGTTTCTAACCTTTAGGCTGTGCTCCCTAAAGCCATCTTTCTTCTCTGAGCTCTAATAGCTACTTATTTGCCAATTTTCGCCTGGATTGTTAAAGCACTAAACATTGTCTGGTACACATGTGTTTCTTGTCCCGGGTTTTACCGTAAGCCACCCGAGGATGTAATACTTCTGGGCCTCCCAGGTTCTGTCCTACAAATGCATGCTGAAGGAACTGATTCCACGTGTAAAGTAATCAACCCCCTTCAGTTCTGCCGGCTGATTCATGCCTTCAGCAGTGTGTTTACTTATCTCTCCTCTCACCCCAGGACCACATACTGACATTGGCTATAAAAAAACAAAAGAGAAAATCCTCCCTAAATTCAGGCCTTTGAGTCAGACCTATTTGCAAGGCCTGGAGAAGGAAGGCCTGACACTTGAACCCTGAGTGACTCAGGAGTCTGTGTTTGCAGAATCTTGAATCTTGGAGTCTCTGAGGCCTTTGTGAGGTTAAAGATATTACAGGAAAACAACAAGCCCCCCAATTCAGCAGCTACCGTGGCCCACTGTGAGATTTAGTCACTTTCTTAAGAACCCAAACTGCAGCTGGTGACTCCACAGCCCTGCTTATACATCCCTGCATGGTTTTATTCTCGCTGTTGCCTTCGTAGGCGTTAACTGGCCCATTTAAAATTAGAGCCAGGAGACAGGACAGACAAACCACTTTGCATATGTAAAATGTTAGTCTGGGGATCAGCCAGCTTAAGAAGCTGGTTGACCTTGAGTTAGTCACTGCCCTGCTCTAGTCCTCAATTTTCTCACTGTTGACCGGTGGGGTTTTAGAGGATCTCTATGTTTCCCTCCTGCCTTGCCTTTCTGAGATGCTAATTCACACAGTCTCTGAGTTTTGGTTTATATGCAGTCTTCAGTCACATTCTCCAGGGCTTTGCCTGCTCCAGCCTGCCCTCTCCTCCTTCTGAGCAGACACCCCCAGACGAAGCGGAGGGCAGCTTCCTGTGTGGGATCCCCTTGCAAAGTCCTCTCTGCCCTAGGCTCCCTTCACCTGGAGAAGCCTCTGCCCTCTTGTGTGCTTTGCATGTTAAACAGCTAAAGCTTCCCGCCAAGTTCTCCGCAACAGGGGAAGCAGACAGCCTGTATCTGGAAGCCATCATCGGCTTCCCAGGACACTAATATCCCTGCAGTCCTTATAAGGAAAACCGATAGCTAAAGTAGCTTTAAAGAAACTTCCTTCAAGACTTCTCAAGTTGAGCGTGAGCCCGTAGAGACCAGTGGACAGAAAGGCCTGCCTAGGCAAACCAGACTCCCTTCTGTGCCCCTCTCCCAACACACGCTCTGAACACACCGACATGGTGGCAGGGAAGAGGATTTGGAAGGCACAGTCCTTGTGAAAGTAAGGGCCCAGGAGTCACTGCTAAACAGGAAATAGTAGAGGCCAGGTTAACAATGACAAAGGTTATTTGGCAAGTTAAGAACCGTAGTGATGGACGAGTTCCGCATGGATCGCATCAATGGACACAGGCATCTGCATGGGGTAGAATTACACAGAATCACACGGGCAGGCACTCACACAAATGAGGGTGTGTAATTATCTGAGATCTGAAGAATAACATCTGTGGGTTGTACCCATGGCAGTTTCCTGGTTTTCATACTGTATTTCTTATGTAAGATGTTACCACTGGGAGGAAACTGGGGTCAAAGGGCACATAGACCTATGTACTATTTTTGAAACTTCCTGTGAATCGATAATCACTTCAAATTAAAACTAAACACACCCTCAAAACCAACCAGCTAGTACAGTGAGTGGACGTGGCTGTGTTCCCCCACAATCTTGGGACACCAGTGGGCAGGCCCTCTCACAAGATCTTATTAGTAACAGTGACACCTTCGCCATCACGATCATCACCGCCATCGTCAAGGCTCCTGTTTATTGAACACTTACCACATATGAAGCACACTTCCTCATTTGTGTCAACACCCCCACCAGTCTGTCATCCCCATTTTATAGAAAATAACGACCCTGGGAATAGCTGAGTCAAACCCCAGGCCACAGAGCTACTATGGGGCCCGGCTCTGACCCAGGTCTGGGACTCCAGTGCTCACACTTGGGGCCGAAAAACCAGAGCGCAACAGGACTCCGTGGAGCTGTCAAGGCATCCGACGTGTGTTCCCTGGAAGCCACTCAAGCACATCCCTCCCTCTGTCCCAGAGGCGCCTGCACTGAGATACCACACAGCATGGTGAGACCACCTTCCTGTCCCATCCCTCACCCCTATTCTGGCCAGAAAGCCACATCTGCAGAGGAACAAAAAAAAAAAACAAAAAACACTTACAAGTTCTTCACGTTGGCGATGCCACGGAACGCCTTCCTCGGGATCCCCAGGATCTGGTTTTCGCTCAGATCTCTAAACAGGAAGAGAAGAGGCACACCGCATTAAGGACCCAGGCCCGGCGTTATCTGCATCTCATTAGGACAACAAAACCCCTCAGCTGGCTGCCTCTGCGGTCAGGAGTGGTGGAGAGACTGTTCAGTCTCAGGCCCCAGGCTGCTACAGCCTCCACATTGTTCCTGCCGTGATAGCCTTTGCTGGAATGGTTACCAGGCGGGAGCAGCTTGCCTCCAGGGCGGGCTCTGTGGGTGGTCTCGCACCTCCAGGCCATGAGCCAAGACGCTGGGTTGTTTGTTGCGCATACCGCACCCAATTCTCTGTTTTGCCACCTCCCAGAGAGACCCCTTGCCCCCCTCCTCTCTTGCCGTCCCTCCCCCACTGCAGGGTCAACAGTACTCAGTCTCCCACTCTCAGGGACTCTCTGCCTTTGTCATCTGGAATTGGAAAGGGGCCTAGCCATCCTGATTTTCCGAAGGGGGTCACCATCTCTGTTTACCCCAGACACCCCCTGGGGGCCTCCTGGGCTTAGTGACAGGCATGATGACTTCAATTTGCATGTCTACAAACCTTGCCCAAAATGGAGGGTCCCATGGGCACCTCCTCTAGCATTAAGCAGTGCTAATGTGTTGTTTCGAGGAGGAAAGGTAAGGGACAAAGTGACAGGTGTTGAAGCTGGCTCAAACCCAGGTCTCGTGCCAGGGTCCTCGTTAACAATCCCCCAAACCTCAGTTTCCTCTCCTAAGACCCATGTGGTTAGTTTTCTGTTTCCTTCCCCCCAAATCCCCACTCAAACCAAACACATGCACTTGTTTTCATTCATACCTCAAGCTTGCTTGGAATCTCAGTAATCAATCATACCAGCGTATGTCTATACACAAATACACACACACACATCAATCATATGCATATAAATCTATAGATATAGATATATATCTCAATTATTGTGAAAATAACACAAAAACCATTAGATACAAAGGTAAAAAAATCACCTACCCAGACCATAACCAGAGTTACAAATTAGGAGCAATATATATAAATTTTACCAATGTGATCTCACAGTATATAGTCAGTAATAAACTTTTTTCACTTATTATACTGAGAACATCTGTTCATGTCATTAACAGTCCACGTATGCCAACATTTTTAATCACTGTGTATCATCCAATTGTATACAGGGTTGTAGGATCCCGCACTGCGGGGTCGGGGGAAGGGATTTGTCATTTAAGGGAACGTGAGGATGAGGTTTCCTCCCCACACCTTTCCGGGGCAATTGTTGACCTCCTTCCTTGGTAGGAAGTCCTGTAAGGAGAACATACTGGGTCGCAGGGTCAACATCTTTAACTGTCAAGTTGTCCCAGAGGCAGATTGTACTAATGGATACCCTCCCACCCTGATTTTCCACAGGAACCTAATCAACAGCTAAAGAGGAACTCCTAATATATTTGGAAAGAGAGGTCAGCCAACCATCCTCCACAAAAACCTGGGCTGTCTAAATTAACCTCGTGTGAAGGAGCAGGAGGAAAAACAGAAAGCAGGAGAGAGGCGTTCCTTTCTGCTTTCCCCTGTAGAGAGGAGTTACCACACTCCGAGCAGCTGGCTGGAACCTTGGACACTTGGGGATTGTCTGGGGCCACGGTTAAGCCCCAAGGCAAGGCTCGGAGTTGGGGTAGGGTGTAGCTATGACTACCGGTGGCTTTGGGGGCTGAATAACACGGTGTTCCCCATCTCAAATCCAGTTTCCTCTGTCTGCAGGCTCCCCTGGCTGGGCCTGATTCAATGAGCAGGGCTCCAGCCTGCAGTCAGGGCACTGAACAAAGCCCACGGAGACAGCAGAGGTCAGGCAGGGTCACCAAGGTCACTCCTCTGCTCTCCATCAGACTCCAGGAGAAGAGGGCACAGGTCCTGTCATCTGACTAATGCAGTTTCCACCAGGCATCTGGGCTGTACCCAAGGCTCCAGCAACCACAATGGGCCTAGTCTTCTCTGCCAAGTAAAGGCTGGTCTCCAGGACAGCGAGCCCCTGCCCACTCCCCTCCCAGGCTGGGCTGCTACCTTTGGCTGTTCTGGGAAACGGGTCGGGCCACACCTCTGGCCAGCGCCTGATGATCAGAATCCGGGGCATGGGAGCAAACAGGAGAGAGGTTTGGACGAGTCAGCAATAACCATGCCTGGGAGCCAGGAGAAAGGACATGTGCTTCAGTAGTTCACTGACCCTTGGAGTTTACTATGCCCCAAACACACTGAAGAAATAACCATCTCTTGATGGTTCTGACCTATAATACAGCAGGATGATGAGAGGAGAGTAGCATTTTCGCGAGAGATCCAGCCTAGCTGCTGGGAAACGTCCCACAAAAGCAATCACACGGGCGAAATCCTACAATCGCCCGGGGCAGCCACTCGGGCTTCTCAGCCCTATTTCGTTGCTGGAAGTTGACCCAGTCTTGCTCCTAGTTTAAGGGCCCCAGTTGAAAGCACAGCTTTCCTTCCACCTCCCTGCCACGGCTTTCTGCCTGCTGCCAACTGAGCAAAACGGTGGGTCATACGGAATTTATCTGTTCCCCATGACAATCTGCTTGTAAATTTTATTAATTTTATTTTCCATTGAGCCTCTCTCTTCTCCAGCTAACAATACCACCGCCATCCATCTGCAGGATTGTATATTGATTTCATCAATACCTCCAGTAGGCTGACCAACTGACAGCTTTAATGGTGTTACTCATGGGGCGTGGAGGAGGGCTCAGGGCTGGGTGCTTCGTTTTTGGTAACGGTCCCTTCACAATTATCTCGAGGCCTTTGTGAAGGCTCCTAATAGCATGTTTATCTCCGTGTGATGCCAGAGCGTGGAGCCAGTGCTAAGCGCTACCCTTGAGAGAGACAAGAGGCACCATTTTCAGCAGACATTTAAATAAAAATAACAAAATCTATCCATAGTGCCCCAGAGCCTAGTTCCGGCCAATTGCTTGGCGGGAGTTTCGTGCCTTGCCCCTCCTGAGGGAAAATGCTTAGAAGGAACCAGGGAAAAATAACTTTATTTATTTATTTTTTTAAACATTAGATGAAAGGTACGAGGCTGGAGCACGGCGAGAGGGTAAGGGGCGTGCTGAGATTTTCTGGGGGAAGTAAAGGAAGACAGCTGTTGGGAAACGCTTTCTTGGTTGGGAAGTCGGGCTACAGGTTGGGATGTCTTTTTAAAAAATTAGGACTCTGAAAGAAAGGAGGACTGCATTAGCTAAAGTGCATTTTCCTGCTTCCGGAAAATGATTAACCGACGGATTATTCCATCCAAAAACACAAGACCAAAGAGGACTTATTAAGGAGACAGTAAGTCAAATAGGAGTTGGCAAGAACCAATATATCCCCCTTCCAGCCAGCGCCCCCCCCCCTCCTTTTAATTTACTAAAATGCTTTGGACACAGATTAACTTTCTTCACAAATTTATTATTGCTTCATCTACCTTGAAACGGGAACTGCAGACACTTTGATAAATGGATTGAAAGGCTGTCTAGTTCCAGTGGAGCTTTGAAATGCTTCCCGGGCCTCTCCCTGCAATGTCAGGCGTGCTTTGTTCTCCGAGCAACACTGAATGACAGCCCCCACCTTCACCCCCACCTCCGCCCACCCCGTGTTTTCCAGGGAAGACGGCAAGGCAAGAAGCAGGAAGACAGTGTCCTCTTTGCTGTGGTGGGGACAATGCGCTGGTCTCAGTCACGTCCATGCTCCCAGGAAGTCCCGTGTTAAATGGCAGGTAGTGGAGGGTGGAATTTGCTCCTAGATGTCAATCTTCAATTATTCCAAAGGTACAGGATGGGGCTTGGAAGCTCCCCCAACCTCGGGGCATTCTTGTTTCTGAGGTGAGGCGAGCCAGTTAGCTGGATGATCATTGCAAACTACTGAAATGGTGCAGTTTCCCCATCTTTACATCAGGGGCTGTACTGACCTCCTTGGTTCACCATGGGGATGAAAGGAGTTGATATGTGTGTGTCTCGCGTAGCACCTGGAACCCTGTAGGCATTCACCAGATGGCTGTATTTATTTCTTGGATTTTCCGCCCATTTAGTCCTGCATTTTACATTGCTGAAAACATCCCTTATGACCCTCTTCAGGACCCATGTCTACAACTGTGCAAAGAATGGAACACATAAACGTTGCTAATATTCTTTCCATAAAATCTGGGGGAGGGATCAAAGTTTCCCTCCTCTATCATCGAGATAGGAGTATCCGTATTTTATTCTAGAGTCTTTTGAATGGGAGAGGAGAGCTTAATTCAGGGGAAAAGGTCTGTCTCAGATTGGGCTCTTAAAGCAGCTGACAAGTAGCCAAGTGATGGATTCACAAAGTGCTCCTGGGAGACACGAGAATGGCTGCAGGAAGCAGGATCAAGAAGGGAAATAAAGGTCAGTGAGGAAAAGTCCTAGCCTTAGCCCCATACCCTGGGAGCTCCTGTTTCTAACCAAGGGATCTGGGCCTTTAGAGCTCTGCACCAGACAGCCCCTGGTTAGAGACCACCCAGAATAACACAAACTGCCCGGCTCTGCCTGTTCTCTATAAGGCTGAACAAGGTGACCATAACAACTCAAGGACACATTGCTGAAGAGGTTCCTGGTCCTGATCTTTATCCTCAAAATCTGAAGAAGCAGGAGATGGGTACCAGTGTCAGTAAAAAGACCCAAAGGATCCAACCCAAAGCATTCGTACAAAGGATAATTCTGCAAGGATAATTCTCCTGATTGAGAAGTTCTCAGAAGATTAAAAAAAAATTATTCATGAAAGACGACCTATTCAAGGATCAAGAGGTCACGGGGTGGGGGGTAGTGACCAAACGAAATTGGAAAAACCCAGTCTGATACCTTCCTTTGTCTACCTCCCCAGACTCCTTGTGCTGAGACCAATCAGGTACCTTTTTAGTAACTTTAAAAAAAAATCCCATCAACTCTTGATTAGCCAGACTAAAAGATAGGATGATCTAAAATCATTTCTAGGGGCACCTGGGTGGCTCATTCAGTGAAGCAGCTGCC